AAACTGAGGAGGGATGGTAAACACCCCTCTGCCATTAGTCCATCCCCTCCAGAATGATACGATTCAGATCCATTGTTTCCACTTGTTGAACAGCCTTCAGAACTGGTCCCTTTAAATGGAAGCAATTTACAATGTAATTGTTTGCAGGATCAGTGTCAACTAAAGACATGCATGCTCTATCAGCAAAATCTACAGCTCACTTTGACAAATAGCTAGAGAACAATCATAGAATCATAGAGTTGGAAGAGACCACAAAGGCCATCCAGTCCAACTCTCTGCCATGCAGGAACTCAAAATCAAACCATCCCTGACAGATGGCAATCCAGCTTCTGTTTAATGACCTCCAAAGAAGGAGACTCCTTGAAGGTTGCTACAAACACCAGAATGAGTAGCAGAGCTTCAAAAAGTTAAATCCAGATGTTGGTCCAAAACAAAATAGATGTATTAAATCAGTGAAGTTTAAATAAACATTGATTTATTAGGTTCCCATTGATTCAATGCTCTATTTAGGATTAAACATTAGGTTTAAGTGAGAGGCTGTCTATCTTTCTTCTGAGATCTGGTCAGTAGCAGACAGTTTAAATGACACTATAGTATCCCGAGTTACATCAAATGCCCTGCCTGGCCCTTCCTCCAATCTCCATGATGAGTCTGCAAATGCTCCTTCGCTTTTATTGACAAATTGATCAGAGAAGTAATGAAAGGAGGCAGAGTTGTGTGCTAGCAACTTCATGAAAATCCATTCCCACAAATCAAGTGAGGTATGTACTAGTGTTGTAGGTATTCACACCCTGAAAAGATTGTAATGCCACTGTGATGAAGGCAAGACTCCTTTTCATGCTGCACAGTTGTAGTACTGTGATGGTACTTTCACTCCCGTGACTCCATCCTTTGGAATCCTTCAATTTGTAGCTATGTGAGATATTTGGAATTCTCTGCTAGAGAACTTTAGTGCCTCCTCAAACTACAAATATCAGAATTCTGTGAGATGTAGCCAGGGTATTTAAGATGGAATAATAGCGGTATAATTGTACAGTGTGAAAGAGGCAAGGTGTTTGCACAATAAAAGTCTCATCTGGATCCCACTGTCTGGGATCTTAAAGGTGGGGAAATGAGGAATGGAATCCTGTCTGTAACCAAGGAGCAGACTAATATGGAAGCATTCCTTCCAGCTACAAATTTTAAGTCTTTTCACAAGTTTTGCCAGAAGGCAAAATATGGTTTTACAGTCACTATGGGGAAATCAGCATAGTTCTGCTCTATTCATATTACCAGCTTCCTATATGCATGTGGTAAATTTTTCAAAAGGGGAAAAACATCACAAGCAAAAATAAAACAAAATAATTTGGAGACAGTCAAGAATTTTTTCACACAGTACTCATTGTATGTCTGCTGGAATGGAATGAGTTTACAGTGTATTGTAAATACTGAGTTCAAACCTAGACTAAACCAATTCTCTTTGTCCAGCCAGCCCCACAGTTACCACAGTGCTGGTAACTGATGTCTAATTCAGTATGGGAAATCAACAGTATTGTTCCAGCAGTGGATGGAAAATGGAAAATATATTTTTAAATTGCCTTTTCTATTAAATGAGGCATGAAAATGTTGCTTGATGAATAATTTATTTTTGCCATACAACCTGATCATGGTATGGAATAAAGACTGCCAAATTGCACAGAGCGAGTGAAGGCAAGATAATTTTTTTATAAGTCTGTTTAGTCCTTCGCAGCATTATACTCAATTCTCTTTTCATATAAATCAGTGTTTATTCTGGCTTGCTAAAGCCTGAATTGATACAGTACAACCATCATCCAAATATAAGTGCTTTTTTCATGTTTGCTTTTGGGAGTGCTATATTTATATTTGTTTGTTTGTTTACATATATTTAGAGAGTGTGCCAGCATGGTGTACTGGTTTGAGCATTGGACTAAAACTCTGGAGACCAGGGTTTGATTCCCTGCTTGGCCATGGGTGACCTTGGGTGAGTCACATGCTCTCTGCCCAGAAAACCCCATGATAGGGTCGCCTTAGGGTTTCCACAAGGTGAAAACGTGAAGGCACACAACAACAAATATTTATGTAATATTGTATGTGTGTGTGTGTGTGCAAAAGCCCTTACTTAACATGTGCTTTTTGCTGTTGTTGCATGTCTTCCACCTCCACAATTATTCTCATATTGTTTACCCAATGCATATTTGCTCATGCTTATGAGACTTGCTTAATTATTTTTGTGCAGAGATGCTAAGTGATTTTGTAAAGAGAGAGGACAGCTACATGACATCTTTTATTGGTTTAATTAATGTCTGTTAAGTTTTTAAACAGGCTGGATGGCCAGGGTGCTTTAACTGGGTGCTTTGACTGCGGGGGGGGGGGGGGGGGGGGGTAGATGGGATGGCCCTGGAGGTCTCTTCCAACTCTATGATTCTATATCAGGCAACATATAATGCAGCACAGGAACTGACAACAATGGAATTACTTGGGATGCTATAGTCTAATGTAAACTGTTTACAACTGACCAGATCTCAGAATGTCTATCTATCTATCTATCTGATTTTGGCATTCTGTATGGTCCAATGTAGTTCCACATGTGGAACCAATGCTACATGTCACCATCCACTGACCATTGGACACACTGTAGAATCATTACAGCCCTCTCCATAACCATCCATGTCTCAGGAGAGCAGTGGGGGATCAGAGAAATGTGTGGCTATATCCCTGTAACCAGATATGAAGTAATTATATCCTCCACTGAGGTCCAGGGAGATCCTCCCAAATCTCCACAGATGTTGTAAACATCTCCTGTCTGGCCATCAGGATATAGCCAAAAGCCTTTCTGATTTCCACTCCACAGGCAGAAAATGTCCATGAGGGGCTGCAGCAATGGAGGGCTTTGATCAGTATGGAAGGAGGAAGGGAATACCAGCCTCTACATTGACCAGAAAGAGTTGTACACAGGTGTAAGGTTGACTTATGCCTGTAAATGCCACTAACAGGATACTGCTCTGTGTGTGTCTGAGATGATGGGTGTATTACAAATAGGCTTGATATGCTACATGTCCTTCCTCTCCACCCCCCAGCCCCACCTCACCTAGCATCTTGTCATTTCATCCAGTCTCCACTGCCCAATATGCAGGGTGAGCCAGAGATCTATTGTCTCCATTATGATGGAGAGTGGCATTTTACAGATAAAGAAAATGATGGTTAATGGAGGGAACCAAAGAATTCCAAAAAAGAATTAGCACGTGTTTCAAAGATCACAGCAAAGCATTTGACTGTATAGATCACGAAAAATTATGGAATGCACTCAAAGACATGGGAGTGCCACTACATCTGATAGTCCTGATGAGGAATCTGTAGCAAGGACAAAAGGCCACTGCCAGAACAGAATTTGGGGAAACAGAGTGGTTCCCAATAGGCAAAGGGGTCAGGCAAGGCTGCATCCTATCACCCTACTTGTTTAATTTATATGCTGATAACATCATAAGAAAAGCAGAATTAGAATCTGAAAAAGGAGGAGTTAAGATAGGAAGAAGCAACATTAAAAACCTAAGATATGCAGACATCACCATAATATTAGCAGAAGACGTTCAGGAATTGGAACAGTTAATAAG